CCCACCAGCCCGGCGCCGCTGAAACCTCCTTTGGGGCTTCGCGCCGAGGGGCTCCCTCCGCCCTGGGCCCGGCTCTCCCCAACCCGCCTAAGGAGCCGCCGTCCTGCTCTTCCCCAGATCAGCCCCCGCCTCCGATGCTTCCCTTTCCCCCTCGACGGCTAGGCTGTGGCAAGCTGGCCGGAGGAACGCGGGCGCACCTTCCCTTCGGCCACAGGGAGCGAGGACGCAGGAGAGGAAGGCCAATGGAGCAGAATTAAACCGCTCCCGTAGATGGCAGTTGGTTTACCATGGATGTCAGTCCTCTCGTTCCTGCTGCTTTGCTGGACGTTCGTTTTGAAGGTGTGCCTTTTTAAAAGGAATCGCTTTATTTTTACACACCTGCAAGACAGGAAAGCAGCTTATACAGAGACACTGGAAAAACGGGCCGGTGGGTGTGTATGGTAAGTAAGTAAGAAGACACACACCATAGAGAAAAGCATTCAGGCTGGCCTCTGACTTCGTGACGCTTGGCCTTCCTAGGTTCCTGGCATTCTTTTAGTGCATCAGAAAACAGGAGGGGAGCGTTGTGGGGCCTGTCAACGTAAATTAATGCCCCAGCCAAAGGTACAAAAGGTGTCACATGCATTTGTCCAGCGTTCCCTCCAAGGGCATCCCTATGCGCATATGCACCGAGCGGAAATGACTTTTTCTGTTTCAAGAAACCTTCTGACTTTTGCTGTCTGTTCATTGTCTCTGAAAGCTGTTGACTTTTGTAAGTCTTGGGTGACAGGTGAAGCTCAGCCCTAACTGTGAACCCTAAACCTGAGTGAATGAAAATGTTCAGCCTACGAAGATTCACCAATCGCCTCAAAATGGCTTTTCCACATGAGACATGGAACGTGTGAAACCATCATCAGGTGGAGAGTGCCTCTGGGCACACCCAGAGTGCTGCATAACAGCAAATGTCTTGAACTGAGAGGTGAGACAAGGCTTTTAGAGCAGAAGGTTTGAAGGCATCACTTTTCCAAGGCTCCCCGCTTCCTCTCAAAAGTGGATGCCGGGGGGGGGGGGACACGAGGGCTGCAGACCTCCTTTTCCAGCCCAGTTCAGCTGGGGCCCACCCTAAGTGGAGCCTGAGCCTGAGACCAGGACGATCCGGGTTCAGAGGATGGATGGATGGATGGATGGGTGGAGGGAGGCCGTTGGCGGTGCATGAAGCACCTTTGTGTGTGTTGGCAGCGGTGGCAGGGCTCCTCCTAGGAGGAACAGCCTGGCCTGGCCTGTTTGCCAGGGTGCCCTTTTGCCTTTGTTCCTTCCTCCTTCCTGGAAGAAAGCTCAGGGTCTGGATTCCTGCCCTTTTTGTTCCAGGCTAATCCCACCTGGCCCAACCGGCCCTTGTGTTGCTTCTGCAGCCCTGAGGGGGAGGGTAACGCCCCCCTCCCCGTATACTGGGTCAGGTGCCCTGGGACACCTGTCCTCCCAAGCCCTCAACCACCCATCATCCCTCCCCTCACAAAGAACCAATCTCATCTCTGGATTGGAGAGGCTCTCGTTCCTTGGCACGCGGCATAAAACCTGCTGCCACTGAGTACCCGGGCACTATGCATCTGGTAGGTGCCATGGCAGGTTGTCGGGGGTGCCCAGGTGCCCTGGCGGTCCTGGCGCTGCTTCTCTTGGGGGCTGCTGCAGAGACCAAGGGCGGCCTGAAGAATGGCTCCATCATTGAGGTGTCCAACGGGGGTCCTCGGGGAGCCTGGGCTTGGCAGGAGATGTGTGCTCCAGGGACCTTTGTCACCGGATTCAGCCTCAAGGTAACAGCCTCTCCATCTCCTTTTGCCCCTCCTGCTCCTCCAAGGCCAGCCCCACAGCCTCTGTGGGGCACGTGAGGCCCCTTGGGATCTACTCAGCTGGCCATACGGTGCCTCCCTTGCTGCTACCAAGAGGCTTGAAGGGCCGGGCAAGCTCCTTCTCTGGAGCTGCAAAGGAGGGGAAGCGAGGCCATGCCTCTCCCCCTCACCCTGCCCACCAGGCCCTTTTCTCTCCCCCCACAGTCCTGCCCCCCTCCCCAAAATAGCAGGGCCAGCCACAGTAAAGACCCACGGGTCCAAAGGGTTACTAAGAGTGCAGGCAAAGAGTTGGGATCTCTTCTCTTCCGGGGATCTTCCACCGCTGTTGCAAGAGGGCTTCTGGGCACCCCCACCCCCACCCCCCAGGTGTGTAGCAAAACCATCTTGGGTTCTTCCTGGATTTAAATCCTTGGTGGGACCCACCTTTCCAGCTTCTCCCTGCCCCGCTTTTCTAACATCTGTGACCCTGGGGACTTTGAAGGCTTCTTTCCAGCTGAAGCAGCTGCCACGGTGGCTCCTTCCCTCCTGGGAATGGCTAGTTTGCTGGGGGTGGCGAGGGCCCCCCTGTGTGACCTGCCCGCTACCAACCTTCTTCCTTGCTCCCCAAAGGTGGAACCCTATCAGGGTTCCCTCAAAGACGACACGGCAGTGAACGGCATCCGTCTGTTCTGTACCCGTGGTGGGAGAGAGCAACGCCTGGAAACGAACCCTGTGGAATCCCAGAGTGGCCCGTGAGTATCTCCCTGGGCTCTGTGTGTGTGTGTGCGCATGCATGTGTGTGCGTGCGTCCACACACCTATCTCTGTGCGTGCACTGGCTTTGCTCCATGCTCTCGTGCCCATAGTTCTGCTCTGGACGAGAGGGCTTGGAGAGCCTGTGGTGAGTGACAGGGCCCAAAGCGTTGCTCCCTCTGCCATTCCTGCTGCTTGTGAAGACCCTGTTTTTTTGCCACTTGGGGCAAAAGGCGGCTCAGGAAGGACAAAGCTCACTGAGAACTTATCCTGGACGTTCACGCTTAGCCAGGAACTCCTTGTGCCCTCCCCCCCCGGGGTTCCTCTAATGCCAGCTCCCTCCTGCCCTCCTCCCCTTCTAGAAGGACCGACGGCACCGTGCCCTATTCAGTGGTTGTGGCTTCTGCCTCCTCCTTGCCACGCAGGAGAAATGGGGCTTCTGTGTTCGGGGGGGGGCTCCTTGTGCTTCAGGCACTCCCTTTGGCCAGTGGTTTCAGGCAACCTCAGGGCCATATGGTAGCAGTCCTAAGTTTTTCTCTTTGGTCTATCCAGGTTTTTGGAAGTTTGCTTTCTGGCAGCGTTTGCCTGTGGAAGCACAATGAAGTGACGAGGCCAGCCCCAGCTTGCCTAAGGGAGCAGCAGCCACTGTGGGGGCTCTGGGGTGGGGGCTCTGGTGCCTTCGAGCAAAAGCTTCCCGTTGCCTGGCAGCCCTATCCCCACGAGGCAGAGAAGCCCCATGCGCTACCAGCACCCTGATTCTCTGCTCCTCTCCCTAAATCTCTCCCTCTGTCTTTCTCCAGGTGGGGGCGCTGGTCAGAGCCCCTCTGGTGTTCCTCCGGCCACTACGTGCAGGGGTTCTCCTTGAAGGTAGAGCAGCCCCGGTCAACCGCCCAGGATTACATGGGAGTCACCAACATCCGCTTTGCTTGCTCAGATGGGCAGATCCTGGAGGGCGACGGTTTGCGCTGGGGGCAGTATGAGGAGTGGAGCCCCCCCTGCGGGAAAGGTCTGTGTGGGATCCAGACCAAAGTGGAGCCACAGCGTGGGGGCCTGAAGGATGACAGCAGCGTCAATGATGTCCGCTTCCCCTGCTGTGCCAACTGAGGTCATCATCCTGTGTAGCGAGGGCACAGCGCCGCCACCCCCCTCGGCCCCCCTCCCCTGCCACTGTCACCACAAGGAGTGAGAAGCATTGGCTGCCTCGATCTCCCTCCCTCCCCCCCAGGCCCAGGATCCTTTCTTCAGGCAGTCTGGGAGGGGAATTTCTCTCTCCCGAATCTTGAAAGTCTCCAGAAGGATCTCACACTTCACCCTTTCCATCAAGTCCCCAGAAGCAACCCCACCTCTTGCGAAAGAACAATAAATACAAGAGTGCCTCTTGAGTGTGTGTGTGGGAGGATGATTTTCTCCTTCATTACCACATGAGGGAAAGAAGAGCAGGGTTTCTTTGAGCCCGTGCAGGTCATGTGTTTCAACTGCTGCTTCCCCCCCATCTCCCCCCCCCGACCTTCCTTACTGGGCAACAGATCATGCACCCCCAGAGCCCCATGCCTGTCCCAGTGGGCGGTTTGTCCATTTCAGAGTAGCTGCACAGGGGTCCTGAGGACCAGGGGCTGGGAGGAGAGCTGTCACCTTTTGTGTGTGTGTGTGTGAGAGGGAGAGGGGGGGACAGCACCCCTCCCACAGCACCCTGTTGTACACACAGCCCGGCGGATCAGTCAGTGGCTGCAGGCGTTTATTTCTGAGTCTCCCAAAAAGCAACTCACATTGGAAAGAACGCTGTGCTGGATGCCGGGTGTCCGGACGAGAGGGAGGCGCTTGGCAGGAGTGTGAGCCTAGGTCTGTCTGTGAGGTGGGAGTGCAGCGGTCCAGCCGGATCCCTCGCAGCCTCAAAGGCCTTCACCCTGCCAGAGAGGCCAGAAAGGGCAGCAGTGACCAAGTGGCCTGCCTGTCCACCGGAGGACCGAGCTGGTTGGCCCCAGGCCCAGATGAGCCGCCAGCTGATTTGCGGCTGGAAGGCCACGGGATGTTAGCAAACATCACGGCTGCTCTTGAACAAGCAGGAGGCTGGCAAAGTCTGCAGGTGTGGCCGGGACAGGGCAGTGGGGGAGCATCCAGGCAGAGGGAGGCCAGGAACGTGGCCCCCGAGATCATCAGGTCATGAGAGGCTGCTTTTCACTACTCTGGGACATTTTTCTGGGTTGGCTTGCTCTTGCTGGGGGCCTGACCCTTGGCTGCCACCCGCCCACCCCCGTCTCCTTGGCTGACCTCCCCCCGGACACCGACGGCGCCACCGGCCTTACCTCACGGTCGGCTCCCTTGCGGCAGTCCCCACACACCGTCCCTAGGAGACCGTTCACCACCTGCACGCCACAGAGCACCAGCTCCAGCAGGCTCAGACCCAGCAGGATGGAGAAGAGGACGATGTGCCAGAGCACCACGTTGGGGGGATTCACACACCGGTCCCACAGCGTCTGGTTGTGCAGGTAGCTCTCACTGCAGACAGTGGGGCAGAGGTTGGGGGGCGTGACTGCTACCAACATGCTTCCCACACACCCGACCCAGGATGGAGGAGCGGGGCAGCGGGGGTGGGAAGGAGAGGAGGGCAGGAGGACAGTGCCTCCTTCCAGGACGTGGGGGTTGTTGAGCCTGACTGACAGAGCTTGGAGGAGGGGAGATGCGGGGAGGGAGGGGAGGAAGAGGAGGCAGCGGCTGGGGTGTGTGTGTCATGGTAGGCATGTCCTTGGTCCCTTGCGAGAAGGCCCTCCAAAAGGGCTCCCCTCCCCGACCCTCCTGTCAGGCCTCTCCTCACCTGAGGTCCTTGAAGGGACTCCCCCAGGACTGGTCCTGCATCTGGCACTTGGGCCCATCCGATAAGCCTGTGGATGCCACCGCCAGGCAGTAGAAAGCCCCCAGGCCCCCAAAGGCGGCGCAGAAGACGGACCGAAGCATCTGCAGCACAGATAGAGGAGGAGGGAGGTGGCACTTAAGAGGGGAGGCCGGGTGGGAGGTGCGTGCCCCCCCAACACACTCTGGGCACATCCAGAGCCTCGGCAGACCGCCACCAAGACAGGGATGGCCGCAAGCCCACCTTAGTGATGCCAGGGCCTCTGTGCAAAGTGATTTTCCTTCACCAGTGAGCGGAACAAAACAGGGCCCAGGGAAAAATCGGATGTGGGAGGAAAACAGGGGCAAGGGGGCAAGATCCCCACAACATCCCTTGGAAGGAATGAAAGGCCCCTTCAGGCTGGATTGTTCAGTGGAATCAGGGATTTATACCCTACCCCCCCCCCAGATCCCAGGCTAAACCTTGAGTCGCCCTAAAGTCCACGGGCAAGATCCCCCCCCGAGGGGCTGCTTCAGGTTTACCTGTCAGTCGCCGGTTTGCTCCCCTTCCCCAAATGTGGGTCTCGCTGCCTCCCCCCGGCACCTCCTGACATTCCACACCCACCCCCCGCCCCCCAACAGGAGCACAGGGTCACGCGAGGACAGGAGCCTTACCCGGCACCGGTTCCCACAGCAGCCGTACCCGCAGCAGCCCTTTCCTCCGGCCCGCACCGCCGAGCACCCTGTGCAGAGGACCTAGGCAGCACCCGAGAGGAGACACACAGAGAGGAGAGCCGTGGCAGGCCTCCGCTGGGGCAGAGTGATGGATCGGGCCCCCTGAGGAGAGCCTGCTTCTCCGGCTGTGACTGCATGGCAGGTCTCCTTGTGAAAGGAAGAACTGAGGGAGGGGATGCACAGCCCCTGCCGGAGCCCTCTCCCCCCCCCGTGTCTCTCCAGCAATCCAGGCCAGAGCTGCCTCGATGCCCCCCCCTCCTAGGCTCCCTCCTGGACATTTCCCTCCCGTTTGCAGGAGGGGCCGAGATTTCAGGTTTTATTGATCCTGCCCTACCTCTCTCTCCCTTATGCCACCACCACCACCTGTCACCCGCATGCCCAGTAAGGCCTCTCTTATCTCCTCTTCCCACCAGTGGGGAAGGAAGCGCTGCTCAAAGGGCGAAAGGGGGAGGAGGGCATCTGTTTTTTTGCCTGGGGGGGGGATGCAGAGAGAGGAGGGCGAGGGCAGGAAGAGACCACACACTCCTTCCCCTCCTCCCCCCCCCTCTGACTTCCCAGCCAAGCAGCCACAGAGGAAAACTCTTCCCGGCTTGAGGTGAGTCTTCCAAAGGGTGGAGGCTGAGCCTGCCTGTCTTCTCAGGATGGCAGGTCTGGAGGAAGTGGAAGCCCCGTGTCGTGGGGGCCCCTTAGGAACAGGGAAAAGGGGGGGGGCGCCTGCCTGCCTGCCTGCCTGCCAGCCCGTCGACTAACCCTGGCGTTTTCGGAGGGGCAGCCGCACTCACCATCAGGCCTCCTCCGAGGAGGCCCCCCAGGAGCCAGACCTGCAGGGCGATGTTGCTGGTTGTCGTCCAGCGCCGCTCGGCGTTGGGGAACATCAGGAGGATGTTGGCGGCCATGCAGGCCAGGGCCATCGTCACCAGGGAGAGGCCCACCAGCCGGGAGCACTTGCCTGTGCACATGGTGGTGGGGGCACCACCGGGATGTGTGGCGGCGATGTCGGCAGTGGCGGCAGCACAGGCGGAGGGGTGAAGTCCTGCCCCAGCTGCTGTTCCTCCCCAGATAAGCCGGGCAAAGGGCTGCGAGAGAGGAGGCGCTCCCCTTTCCACCTGTCCGTCCACCCCAGCCCCCCCTTCTCTTCCTCTTTAACTTCCTCCTTTTGCACCAGTCCCGGGCGGAGGCGGGAACCACCGAGCGATGCTTGGGTGGGGTGATGCTTTCGGTGGGATGCGGGAAGCTCCTGCTTGGGTGAGCCCCATGCCCCCCTCCAGCCCTGTTTCAGGTGCAGCTCTGCTGAGTCAAAATTCCAGTGCCCCCCCCCCCCCTGATCTTAGCAGGGCCGTTCTGAGGATGGCGGCGCAGCCCTGCCCCTCGGCCTCCCTCCAGGACTAAGGGGCGCCGCAGGGCACCCGCCGGAGCGACACGCTCGTAATACTGAACGTATAGAAGAAGTTTAACGATGGCATGATTTCAATGGCCGGTAAGTCGCTTTGTGTCCCCCTCTGTCGAGAAAGGCGGCATATAATTAAAATGAAATTAAATAAAAATGAACAAGTGCCTTCCTTTTTTTCAGCCTCCTCCAAAAGCGGAGGGGGGACATCGACGTTGCTCGTCGCTGGCTGGGTGGCCTCGGAGGCGAGGGCCACCCGAAGGGTCCGTGGCCACCCGGGCTTCGGAGGCGCCAGGCGGCCCCGCCGAGAACAGGGATAGCCAGGCGGAGGCGGACGGGGCACCCCCCCTTTTCTCCGAAGGGTCCCCTGGACTCAGCCCCCTCAGACGGTGCATTTCTGACGGATACAGGATCTTCTGAATACGGCTCGGTTTCTAGAGCGCAACGCCGGGGGTGCAAAATTAAGGAAGATGGACCACACATTCCTCGCTGTGGGATTGGCTTTCCCGTGAGAAAAAGGAGCGGACGTGCGGCCCCGACCCCCACCCCCAGGGAACCCTTGTTTCCTTCCAAGCACCTGGCCCGGGGGGGGGGGGGGGAGGGAAGGGATGGGGGTCCCAGCCCAGGCTCTCCGCTGCTTCTCGCGGTGGGATCTCCTCCCTTTCCCGTTTGTGTGTGCGTGTGTGT